ATTTGCAGTTTTCAGTTTTTTATGAAGTTTTGGAAATGTGCTGTTTTATATTTTCTGTCAACGAAAGAGTGGTTGTGATTAAACAATCGATAATCGTTTCGTCAGGGTAAAGACAATACTAATGTTCATTGATGATAGTTACACGGTTAAAACAACAAATTAATTTTCGGCGTTGCCAAATATCTTAAAAGATAATAAGGTGTCGATTTCAAAGAGAGAAGCTTTTCCTTTGCTGCTCTCCTTTGCTGTTTGTAGGATCAGCGGAGTGCTTTTTATTTCAGCTTTTAAACTAAGATTTGGTGGTGGATTTTGGTTTATACAGTGTCGGATGTATGAGCATTGTAGTAGCACTGAAATATACGGTTTACAGTAGTGATAATTTGCGATAATGGTTTTGTCAGTGGAAAAACAATACGAACTTTCACTGATAAGAGGTATACTGTTAAAACATCAAATTAATTTCCGGTGAGGTAATTGGCTTTGCCAAATGTCTTTAAAGATAATAAGATGTATTGTAACGTACCCTTATTAGGTATAAGGGAACGCTGTTGATGTACTTTAAATAACACTTTTCACTTTATCCGCAGAGATGCAAGTTGATTTTGCAGCATTTAAGTTCTTTGAAAGAGTTTTCAATTCTCAATGTCACGCTGACGAAAGAGGAAATATTTATTGTTAGTAGCGTAATGCTTTATTTAAAAGCGATGACGTATTGTAAACAAAACCAAAAGTTAATGTAAGAAATTTGAAAAATACACTGTAACAGAAATTCCTTTATTATGTATTGGAAATTTAGTTATTAATCTTTCTTTTGGGTTGGTACATTTCGCTGACCCCTAGCACGTGGACTAACACGAAGGACCTAGACTACGAGTAGTCCCTCTGTCGCTTCGTCCGTCGTGCGTGACGCGAAAGAAAACCGCGAAAAAAATGGCCGCGCGAAATCCTGGACAAGGGTAACGAAGGCTCTGGGAACGAGATTGTAATAATAAGGAAAGAAATCACAGGTATTCGTGATGCGCAGAACGTGTGCGCAGTAACAAAAGTAGGCTCCGCAATGGCGGAAAGCATACCGAAAGAAACCATCTCTGAATTTCTAACAGCTGCACGACGAGGACACGAAGACGAACTCAGAAAACTGCTTAACAAAGCCCCCAACCTTGTGAACTGTTCCAATGACCAAGGACAAACGGCCTTGATGCTCGCAAGTACATTTAATCATGTGAAGTGCTGCGAGGTTTTGTTCGAGTCAAATGTAGATGTCAACAAACAAGATTGTGCTGGTAATACACCTCTGCACTTTGCTCGCGACATTACTGTAGCTCAAGGACTTGTTGAACGAGGAGCCAGTGTATCCTGGAAGAATGTGCTAGGTCGTTGGCCTTTACACGAAGCCTGCGTTTGGGGCGAAATGCAGGTATTTGAAGAACTGCTATCTAAGTTTTGTGGCAGAATTTCCGAAGTAAAAGATAAAGAAGGAACAACGCTTCTTCATTTAGCAACTATTTCCAAGATAGAGGAAAGTAGGATTGACAAAATCAACTTGCTGCTGTCCCTTGGAGCAGACGTAAATGAAGTAAACTTATGTGGAAGGCCAGCGATTGCCATGGCGTGCAAGAATAGTGATGAACGCGTGGCAAGATACCTTGTTCAACATGGGGCAGACCCGAATCTGTCTGACTTCTTTGGCCATAATGCCCTACATTCCTGCTTCCTGGACTACCCGCTTGCAGTGCTAGACTTCGGTGTCTTTAGGCCGAAAAGCGGTTTACTGAAATTATTAGCTCCCTTAATGGCAGATGTAAATGTAACCACTGCTACAGGAATGACCGCCTTACACCTTGCTGCCCAGAGAGTCAAGGCGGATGACATCCGCATTATTCTTGAGGTTGGGGCGAATCCTCTAACTCGTGACAATCTTGGGAGGACACCTCTCCATTTCAGCATGTTCAACCCCTTCCCTGAAGTTTTTCAAATAATGTTTGATTACTGTAAGAAAGGGTCAGATTCTCTTCCAACTGATGATCTTGGAAGATCTGTTCTTCATTATGCTGCTGCATGTGCCTCACCAGAAGTGTTTGATGCAAGCATAACATGCGTAACGGAATCCTATCAACTGGCACCTGAGATAAATTTGCACGATGACTATGGTAGGTCACCACTTGATTATTTCTTCATGCATGGAAGAAGAGAGGAGGTTGTCCTTGAAAGCCTTCTACAAAATGGTGCTAAAGTCAATGACCTTCCAGCACTGATCATGGCTACTTACTCAACACAGCTGAAAAAGTCCCCAGAAGAAAATGGTGATGTTGAAACGCAACCACAGTCCAGAAATGAAACTGATTTGACTTCTTCAGAAAATTTATTATCTAGTTGTCTTCAAAAAATCATTGTCACAGATAGTGAAAGTGTTGAGCCAGCAAATCTACGACCTATTGCAGACAACAGAGAATTTCTTGAACAAGTGGCTTTGCTAACAACTGAAAGCAAAGATCATAAAGACATCAGAGAACAAATGAATTTGACTTGTGAAACATTCATGACAACCCTGAGTCAAGAGGTTGAGAAGCGAGATCCTCGTTTCACAATTGATGTTATTCCAAGTGGCAGCAGCTATGAAAACACGAAATTAACAACCGGCAATTCTATCTCCGATTTTGATTACATGACTAGCCTAACGTCGTTCAACAAAATAGTGACAGCTGTTGAATCAGTGGAATTTCCTAAAGGTTACATCATGCTTAAGCTTATTAAACATCCTGAGATCACAACTGATTTAGATTTTAATGAGTTCTTTCATGATGGATATTTGATTGGACAAAAGGTTTCCAAACGTCTTTGTCAACTTATTCTTGAAGTGCTCAACGATTCCACTGTTTGGAAGGAAAACGCCCATATGTATTTCTTTGGTAAAGATCCAGTCTGCACCTGGGGTGATCGAAGCCCAGCAATCAAGCTCAGGCTCAGATGGACAGGGGGTACGAGCATGCCTTCTAAGAGCATATCCTGTGATGTAGTTCCATCTTTGCACATTCCTGGGTGGTGGCCTTCATTTGCTCGTCAGGCATCAGTTATATTGAAACCTAACGTTAAAGCTGGATGCTATGTTGTTTTGAAACAGCCCGACGTTCCTTTCTATGGAGTGGCTAAGTTTGGGAATCCAGAGTGTTTCTTGAGAGTGTCATTTTCTCCAGCTGAATTTGAGATATTCAGAAATACGTCTGAGGATGTGCGAAAGAGTTTCGTTGTTGCCAAAGCATTGTCGAAAAGAGTGGTCAAAGTTCCAGGCAAACTAGTTGATGTGCCCGTGAAAGGAGTAGAAATTCAGAGTAACAATTTGATTTCTACCTACTTGTTAAAGAATGCTTTGTTTCATACACTGGAATGCTTCTTGGAAGAAAGCACTCAAGATCAAGACCAACTGGAGTACTTGGTTTGTGGGGTTTTCAAAAGGTTGTTTGAGTACACAAAACACAACTACTTTCCAGCCTTCTTTGTACCACAGCAAGATCTCATTCACACTCATAAAACAGACAATTTCTCAACGATTGCAAGATTTGTTGCCTCTCAGGCTCTGTACTACGGTGTAGACAAGAAAGAGCAGAAGCACAGTTTTGAGAAGATGAAGGTCATGCTCCCAGCTGAAAAAGGAAAAGTGTATGAGGATCTGCACCGTGGTGACAAAAGCATAAGATATTTCCTACAGGGAAATGAAGGAAACTCCTGATGCACATTTCCAGGGTTGCTACGAATGTTCGCATTGCAGGAAGAATGAGTGCAAAACAAAGGTGAAAATTTTGTGATGAATGAAGTAACATAATGCTGTGTCATAATAACTATTAGAAAGCTTAAGTAACCAAGGTCTTCGATGCATTCATGTTCTTTGAAACAATGCTGTTATTATCCCTTTTTTTGTAATTTGCCTTATCTGTCTGAACTAACTAGGAGCTGAATTTGCAGATACAGCATTCAAGTAAGGGAATGGTCTATGGTAGAAGTTTCAGACAATATCGGCAACTGACTTTAGGAAACCAAGCACCTGGACCATACATCTTATTATGAAGCCTAGCTTTTGTTATTTCGTAGTTGGTACATAATACCCCTTCTCCAGGACTGTTGCTGTACCTGAACATTTTCTGAAGTTCCTTAGTGGTGTATTATTGTGCTAC